AATTGGGGAATAGAGGAAGAGCGGAATAGAGGAATGACAGAGGAATAAGAGAGGAATAGTCGGGGAATTGAGGAATAGCGACCGACCGACCGGAATACATTTTGAAACGTTCCCTAAGGCGAATTATATTTGTAAACGGTACCTATTCCGAATCTAGACACACTCAGCTATCTATCAATGAGAAAATCTTTCACTTTGGTGCTGGGATCTAGGAGAAAAAAAATTAATTTCTGAACTAATTCTCGATTCCGTGTAGGTGCGTAGAATGTAACGAGATCGCGCAAGTTAGCGCAGATCGGATCTGATTCGAAATTACATTGAAATGTCCGTGGTCATGCCATGCATTCATTATGAATGCGATTTTTCTACTGGACTTTAATATGAGTTTTCCAAAAAACCTTGGTTTTGCAGTCAAATCTATTTTTCTCGACGCAAAGACACTTTTATTGAAAACTAATGACATATTTGGAATCAGCGCACAAAATTGCTTTGAATGGCGTATAATTTGTTAGTTTTACAAATCAAAATATTTTTGACAAAAATTTAGGGTAAGTGTTCAGCTCAGCGACTTTTCATATAAAAAATGTTTTTTTCAACTTTGACTTTTTTAAATTATATTAACATTTGAGACAGAATTAAGCAATTTTATGCGAAAATAATTGTTTTTTAACTAAAAAGATCACATGTCTATCTGCTCTATCGAAAAATGCCTACTGTGCAGAAGGGAGAAAGGCGTTGGAAGTATTATCTCAGCTAATTTCGTAAAACTATTGTCGTTTATTTTATTTCATCTAGATTGGGCCATGGCTACAGGAGCTTATTATCCCCCACTACGGATAAGAGATATCCCAGGACCCCAACCAGGACAATTTGGTTTAGTAAGTTGAACTATAGCAACTTAATAATGAAAATAATTTATGAGAAATTATATTCAGCTTGAGCGTCCCTATCGTCCACACAAAAATATTGTGATGCAAAATCGAGAAATTGAAAATACTCGATTAGCCTTTGACAGACAAAATCGTGCAGCAAAACTTGAACTGAATAAAATTGAATTCGATGAGTTATCATCTGGAAAAGCGTTTTATGCCGAAGTTCGACGTGAGGTACAACGTCGACTGAACCATTCTAATCATCAATTAGAAGAACGTCGAGAACGGTAAATAAAAATTGGCGGTTAGTTTTGGAAATTTTTTTCTATGGATATTTTTTTATACCTAATAGATTACGTGGATTATTGTCATCTGAGGAAGCTCAATATTTACAAGAGGGAGCAGAATCTAAAGAAACACTTGCTCAACGAATATCAAAAATGAGACAAAAAGCAAAACAAATTCGTGAACAAAAAGAAAATGATCATCAACGAATTGTTCAAGAGAAACTCGATCAAAGATTTCGGTATGTTTAATTGTAGGAGACTTATGGCCCAGGACGATGATTACGACAGTCGTAATACGTCAAATTACGACGTCGTATTTTGACGTTTACGATAATATTTCGTTGTAATCTGGCGTGTTTCGTGGAGAAGTATTACGATGATCGTAATACTGTCATCGTATTTTGTCGTATTTCATCATAAGCCACAGTTTACGACAGTCGTAATCCTTCTCCACGGTTCCTTTCGTCGTATTTTGACGTAAACTGTAGTTTACCGCCGTTCGATCTGGGGGTACGACATATCACTTGTTTTTTCCTCTATTTATAGTCGGGATTGTGCCGAATTACGTGAACTTCAATCAAAAGATTTGAACTATGAATTAGGAAATGAGCATTTGTGGCAAATGAAAGAAAAAATTGATAAGCAGCAAGAACGAAAAGTAAGTATCTCTAAGTAAAATATTTTTTCATATCATGAACAATTTTCTTTGCAGAAAGAAGATGAGTTTTTTACTCAATTATGGTATAATGACATTGCAGCTAAAAAGAGTCGCGAAGAGCGTGACGCAGAACAAGCACGATTAAGAAGCCAAAATATGTCGCATATCATCCAACAACAAATGCAAGCCGCCGATTCAGAGAAAAATGAACTGAAATCAAAGAGAAAAGAACATTCAGAAGCTGCTGTAAGTAGAGTTATACATTGTGAAAATATTCATCTCTCGTGATTATCTTCTCTTTATGTAGTGGACTCTCCATCGCCAACAGAAAGAAGAAAAAGTTAATGAATATCAGGAGAAACTAAGAAAACAAGATGAATTAAGAAAATCATTGGATACGGTTCTGAGGTTGGTCATCTGTTCTTTCTCGATTTGGAAGTTTACTTACCATCATCTTTTAGAACTAAACAAAACATTCAACAACGTAAAACACAAGAAGAATTAGCTTTAGAACAAAAACTACTTGAAGAAACACAGAACGTTACAAAAAGTGATGAAGATCAAAAACTAAAACGAATGGTAAATTAATCACAAATCTTAGAACTTATCTAATTGATAGAAAAAAAAGTGTTTGAGTTTAGATGGGAGTTGTTCTATTAACTATTTAAAGTTGTAATATATGTTCTTTAACTCATTATTTTTAATGCTAGGTTGAATTGCGTGAAGAAGGAAAACGCTATCGTGAATATTTAGATCAACGACAACAAGACGAAAAAAGAAAAGAATTTGAATTAGAAAAAGTGTTACATCAAGAGTTAGAAAAACAACATGCTAAACGTGTAGAAACCATTAGAGCTGAACGTAGTAAACGAGAAACATTATTACAACAAGTTATTGTAGGACGACAACAACAATTAGAAGAAAGAAGTATGCATGATGTTGTTTGGGTTTTGTTGATTTTTCAATTTACTTGTTTTAAGTGAGACGAAAAGAAGATGCAAAACAAGAATTTAACTGGGAAAAAGAGAATATGAAAAATGTAGTTGAACAAGCTAAACAAGAAGAAGCAGAGAGATTAACAAAAAATAAAATGAAACAAATGACCTATCGTCAAAATCTTCTTGGACAATTAGATTATGAAAAACGCCGACAAGAAGAGGTGAATAATCAAGAATTATTATTATAAGATCAAGCTTATTTCATGTATTTTTATTTGTGATTTAAGGAGTTATATGAAAATCAATGTGAATACATGGAAGGAATGAAGACGGAAGAAGATTATCAGAGAAAATTGACACATGAACTCGAAAATGCAGGTATTTCACATCAACATCCAGTGAGAAAGTGGTATAGGTAAGTTAAGATTAGCTTTTTCTTATAATGTCACTATCTCCAGTCTCTCGATGTTTAAAGTGCAAAAATGGGTAATACATATAAATCAGAAAAGCCACCAATGGATGATTATTTTCGTACAAAAGACGATTTATTTTGTCCTTCTCAACCGGTTAAATTAAATTTACCCACTAAATTATTACCAGTTCCGATTGTATATCATTGACATATATCATTTCTAAACCGACAAGCAAATTGTTCAAACAAATAAAAACAGTTCATATACAGATTGTAATGATGTTAGAATAATTGCTCATATTACGTGATTTCACCGGTTATAGTTTAAATTATTTTTATGTTCCGATGTATTTTTCTTTTAAAATTTTTCTTTTTTGTTTTAATATCAAATACGCACACTCATATATTGATTCCTGTTTTTTTGTGAGAGTATATTTTCTTTTTATTCGTTTGACGGCAAATATTACATATTGTGTATATGTTCAACGTTCGGTATGTGTTTCTACTATTGTACCGAAAAGTATAATGAAAGATCTGTAGGAATAGAATAAGAGAATGTAAATTTATTTTAATTTCAAATTTTGGCACTTCTGAATGACGACAATACTCGCACTTTATATCCCCTGTTTGATAGCCAAAATCGCTTACTACGTTGAAGAGAGTATAATATTTTTATTTCTCAATAATTTATTTCATAAACCTTTTCTGTCATGGTTTACAATCGATCTCAATCGCATAAATAGTAATGTTAATGTAAACATCACTAGTACAACAGATAATACAGCTACAGATTGACTCTTTTTCTTTTTCTTTTTTTTAGTAAAAAGCGTTTTGCTTTTAAAAATTTCCAGATTTTATATGATGAGATAAGTATAAAAATCGATAAATTTATCAATATAAACGCTATTGTTGGTTGATATGTGACAGCGGCTATATAAGCTGTTTGTCGTTCATAGGATGGAACAGGCACAATAACAAAAAGTTTAACTAAACTTAGTAATTTCCCATTTGATAAACATTGATATACACCTTCATCATCATATTGCACTTTATACAAAGTTAAACGTTGTGAACGATCGATACGAAAACGTGTGCCAGTTTTGGGCAAATTGCCCATACCAAAATTTGTACCTTGTTTTAAATTCACCATTTCTGTTAAACTCCATTTATCTCGTTTCCAATTTATTTTTGTCAATCGACTAGAGAGAGACGAGCAAATTAATGTTACTGTACGACTTAATGATACGGTACTCGATGATGATGCATGTTTCGAAATATTTCTATAATTTCCCTTGGCATCTAATATATTTGAATTAATATGTACATATTTTCGACCTTCGGGATCGGCATAATGTTGAGCATGTGGATGAAGATCTATACTAGTTGCTATACCACATCCAACTGTACACTTTTGCATGTGTAAATAACGCATTGTTGGATCTATTTTGTGTTGAACACATATAGTTGATAAACCAGTTGTTTCATGTTGACATGGAACGCCACTAGTAGGAAAACCCATGTAGAAACCGTAGACACGAAGATGAGAAAAAAATTGTTCATTAAATTCATCTGAACCCAAATTTACCTTACAATTATTTTTCCATGTATTATATGGTATTACTCGACAATCACCAGTACGTTGTCGTGTGCCAATACTACTTTGACACTCTTCACACGAACTCCATGAAGACCAATGAACAAGAAATTGAAGGCAATATCGCGTATCATTCAACGGTCTTGTCCATATTGATGGAGATTTGATGATGCCTACCATATTTTTAACTTTGATATGCTTAACACGTTTCAAAACATTACTCAAAAATGTTTTGATTATTGAACGACTTGTTAAATTTGTCGTTAAACGACCATGGTCATCTTCGAGTAAAAGAATTGTGTCACCGTCTAAACGAGAGAAATAATTCCTGCTTTGACTTAGCTCCTTATTAGTATTGGAGAACTAGCAAATAAGAGGATGTCACTTTTCGCACATGCATATCTTTCTGTTCTCTTTCTTTTCTATCGATGTACTGAGACGAAAAAATGTCCACACATGTGATATCTTATGTGGAAAGAGATATTTCCTTATTTGCTAGATTCCTAATAATATAGTTTACCTTCTGGATCTTCAACAACATTGATGAGATAGATAACTGATGGTAACAATGTTTCTCTTATAATTTCTGTTGAATTTATCTTTTTAATTTTTGTCAATTTGTGACAAGTATTTAATGATTTAAGCGTGATGTTGGTACTTAAAGCATCCGATGTATAATATCCATTTGTTATGATATTTTCATATTGTTCAGTAACATTATTCATCTGACAAATATATTTTCCACTATGAAACGGTGTGATAGCTCGAAAATATAAATGTTTCTGATAAAGGAATATTGATGTATCAATAGAAGCAGCCGTGAGTGATACAGGATAAGAAGATTTTCGACAGAAAACATTTTTATTACCCACTGTATCTTTTAAAAATGTTTGTAAACGTTCTTTGATGGCAAGCCATTCAATCCAGATTGCTTGAAAATGATCAAATTTTGATATTTTTTTATTTTTACTTGCTATATTATGTAATGAAAATGCACTCGGATGAAATAATTCTTGTCTACCATTAAAATTTGGTTCGTCTGTACATTGATTCAGTATTGACCATTTAATATTTTTGGTCTCAATTGAACAAATAGGACATTTTAACATGATTGGTGTCCCAGCTTTTAATCGCAATGGCATAATCGGTTGAAATGATATTTCACTTAGGTGAGCATACAATAAATAATCGTATTTTGTTTGACAATTGATTGATGAATTAATTTTGCCTAATGGATTAAAGGCCCGAAATGATGCAAAAAAACGTAATGTATCTGTTAAACGATAATCTGTCTCATTAAAATGTTGATTTGATGTTTCTTCACCATTACGTTTATATAACAAATTACCCGTTCCAATAACCCATGTATCGTCGAGATCAATCCATTGTTTAATTAAGTTAAATCT